CCGCAGTCAACGCCTGGAAGCACCGCTTCGCATCCCGCTGCCAGAGCGTTGTCCATGAGCAAGCCTTCGGAGCCAAGGCACCGAGCTACAAAGTCATCATGGAGCTCGACAAGAAGGTCCGGCACTGGCCCATCCCGCCATCGTTGCGTGTCCCCGGTTTCGGCGGTGCGAAGATGACGGAGCTTGAGCAGCCAAGCATTGAGCTGACCATGCAGCGACACACCGCGTTCTCGATCAAGGAGATCAGTACGTAATGCATACTGGACCAACCGCTACTTCGCTGATACTCGCGCCAGCGATCTTTTACCTCCACCGTGGCTTCTTTGCCCGGGCAATTGAAGACAATCCGGAAGACCCTCTCGCTAGCAAATTCGCGCAGTCAGTGCTGGCAGCGTATACCAGTGCTTGCACTTTCGTCGGTCTCGTCAAGAGCTTGCACTCACAATACCCGAGAATTACGGAGCGTTTGTGGTTCTTGTTCACCCACGTGTTCTCCTGTGCGGTGAGAGTTCTCACTCCTTCGACCATCCCGCTCTTGGCTGAGCATCGTTGCAGATTGTCCTGGGGACGATTGCTGCAAAGTGCCCCACTATGCCTTTTGCTAGGTCTGCCTTGCTGAACCTCGACTCCGCGTACAATCTGTTCGAGTCTGTCAAGGAGAATGACCGGGCAGCGAGGGTTCTGGTGCGTGCCGGTTGTTTGCTACATGCGCCGGATGCTCAGCGTTTTGGTAGCCCGTCTTGCAAAGGCTGAAGGCAAGGGCTGTGCAAGCGATGGGTACTCATGCGACAAATGGACCTGTTCCAACTCGCATGACGCCCCCGGATCCCGTTGTGAAGCAAGAAGAGGACGAATTGGCTGCGCTCGGGGGAAAGACGCGCTTGGTGTCGCGCAGGTCGCCGTCAACGCCGAGCTCCCCGCAAGACTCGCTGAGACTGCACAACACGCCTAGCCCGCACAGTTCCCCAGTGCAGCCATACCCCGTCGATCATGTGTCGCCCGTGCACGAGAACGGCAACGGCATGAATGGCATGAACGGTATGGCTCATTCGGGCTGGCAGGGCTACCAGCAAGCTGTGGAAGGGACTTACGGCAGTCAGTTCCCTCCCACCGCTGGCCCATCGTCTGGACACTGGGGCAACCAGCAGTATGGTAACCAGTTGCAGCCGCCGATGATGATTCCGCCCGGAGTGCAGTACTCCCCGTACGAGCAGTTGTCACCGATCGGGGCCAACTACTTTCAGACGCATTCGCCGGTCGATCAACAAGTGCAGGCAGATCCGCAGGCGTCGTGGCAGAGCTTCTATGCCCAGTACCAGCCTGGGCCGCTGAATGGATGAGCAGGGGGGATGTCAGGGCAGTTGTAGAGATGATTTGTCCGACGGACTGGCGGGGATGCTCGGATATGTAGGGTCGATAGTTTTCAAGTACTGTCTTGTACGAGGGTAGCGTCACGGAATGTATAGTATGTATCGTTGCAGTCGTTCTAGACAGATCTCCCCGAGGAGGGCCTTTTTGTTTGGGTCCGTTTGAGCCTGTTTGATCAGAGTTCGGCGGCCAGCTCGGCAAAGCGCGATCAGCTCGCTGCCCCGCCAGCTATGTCTCGACCCCGCACATCTCTCTCCAGGACCTTCACCCACCCACATCTTCCGCGCCCTCACGCGGCGAGAAGACCTCTGGCATGAATGCTGTAGACTCCCGGACACGGAGCAAGGTCCACCTCGAGGCGGGGGCGAGGAGGTGCGTCTCCCCTCGGGGGCTTTCATCTCATTAATTGACGCTATTACAGCAGGTCAGAGTTCACGCGACTTGCCGCTTCGAACATCCTTTTCTTGCTCGCTGTGTACCTCGGGAAGGCCACCATTGCCGAAAGTGCCGTTCTCTCGAGCGTGGTCAAGATTCTCGCTGTCGGTGCGCTGACAGCGTTCGTGTGGGCTGCTTCGCGGGGACAGTGGCAGACTAAGAAGTCGATTGAAGTGCGTCACACTACATCCTTCCTGATTAACACGCACTCACCCAGTATGCTCGCCTAGTGGCCAGTCGTCGGCCTTGCCTCACTACTACTCTCCTTTCGACTCGGTGCAACGCTCTTTGCTCTCGTCCGGCTACCCGCCGTCAGGTGCGCCCGGTCGCTCTCTGTGTGAACCGCTAACCCATGTCCTGTCAGACTGGTCATATTATCGCAGTATTCACCAGTATGGATGAACTGCATGCTCAACAATACGTCTGTAAGCCACTTCGGCTATCAGACAGACATACGCGTTAAAGTCCAGATCACAGCGTCCTTCGACGCTCTACCTTCTCCTAGCTATCGGCATCTCATTCCTCTCGGATGCTAGGTTCTCTCCTGAGAACTTTAGAGTGACGGCACCAGGTTACATCGCCCTCATACTCGAAGCCTTCGCGTCCAGCGTGCTGGAGCATACTCAAGGAGTCCTGCTTCCCACCCTTGGCCCATCAATGAGTACAACGCTGCCTACCATTGGCGGACTGGTATTTAGTGCAGCGATGTACACCTTCTCACTGTTCTTTGTAAGTCTGGAAAGCCGTCACAGTATTCTACACGCTCATGCTCCTGTTAGCCTCGCCCGACATTCACTGAGGAGGTCACTCCGGGATTCACAATGCAGTTGCTGACAGCGGCAATGCTCTCCGTAGCTCTGCTATTTTCCTCGCCAGCTATGACTAAGCGACTCTCATATTCACCCTCTGCGCACGAGATCAGCTTCGCGTTCGTTGTAGTGCTCGTCTCAGCCGGGCTGTTCAGTGTTGTTCCTCGGCTCCCCACCCTGGGTCTCACCGACGGGGTGGTCACTGGCTGCCTCTACTATGGTTAGTGAGATTTCTCCGCACTCCGTCCCCTGTGCTGAGGCCTCGCAGGTATCCGCCTTGGCAAAACGAGGCAGACAATCGCCAAGTCCCCCTATGGCTCTATAACGCATCTCGCACGCGGGTACCTTAAGTCTATCCTCGAGAACCCAGAGTCGAGAAAGATCTTCTACTTCCTTGTGCTCAACATGTGCTATATGGGTGTACAAATGCTCTACGGCATTTGGACAAACAGTCTCGGTCTCATCTCAGACGGTAAGCTACATGTATGCTCCATCACGAGTGAATCTCAACGACTTCATGCAGCGATTCACATGGCGTTCGACTGCATGGCCATCGGTGTTGGCCTTATAGCCTCCGTGATGGCACGCTGGGCTCCAAATGAACGATTCACTTATGGGTAGGTCACGGTACATTTTATCGGTGAATTAAACTAACTGCCTGTGCAGGTACAGCCGTATAGAGACTTTGTCAGGGTTCTCCAATGGCGTGTTCCTCATCCTTATCTCGATCTTCATCGTGTTTGAGGCTGTTGAGCGATTGTGAGCTCGCTTTTTGTCATGTTCCGCCGATGTTACTGACCCTGTGATAGGATGAACCCGCCGGAAATGAACACCAGTCAACTGCTGCTCGTCAGTACTGTAGGCCTCGGGGTCAATTTATTCGGTATGTTTGCAATGGGTGGACACCATCACCATGTAGGCTTCCGCCATACTCTCTGGAGTCATGTCTGACCTTCGCTGCAGGGCGGTCATTCGCATAGCCATGGTCACAGCCACGGCCACTCAGACGCGCCTCACTCACACCCGTCAACGCCCTCTCCGACGATAGATCGTCACCACGGGCATTCGCACTCTCACAGCGATGACGGACATGTTGTGCATGATCATGATGATCATCATGGTCACAGCCATGGTCGAGAGAGCCCGCTGCGAGTTGAAACAGACAACAAGTCCTCTCATTCTCACTCGCACTCGCATTCCACTCCTTCGCATGGTCACTCTCATTCGCACTCGGGCAACGACCACGCAGATCGTGGTCATGGCCACGGCCATGATCACCACGATAGCTGCGGCGACCTTGATCATGATCATGACCATGACCATGGACATGACAAGCCGCATTCGCACTCGGTAAGCTTCATTTCACCTTGAGTTTTTCCGTAGCGTCTGATCGGGATCCAGCACTCACACGACATGAAGTCGCCAATAACGCCAAACTACAATTTCGAGCGCGACGAGCACTTCGAGAATCACCACGCGAGCTCGCATGCTCCGAATCTGCACAACCACGCCCACGTTCATGATCATGGCGGACATGAAGGGCACAGTCACAACATGCGCGGCGTGTTCTTGCATGTCATGGCGGTACGTCATTCACTCCGTACGCACACAAATATAGTCTGATCGATCTTTCATCTTAGGATACCCTGGGTTCCGTTGGCGTCATCATCTCAACACTTCTCATTCAATTCTACGGCTGGACGGGTTTCGACCCTATTGCCTCGTTGTTCATCGCAATTCTCATTGCTGCAAGTGTTATACCCCTCGTAATCGACACTGGGAAGGTGCTCATGCTGGACGTCGACCACCGATCATCTAACATCGAGCGCGCACTTACCGAGGTAAGTTGCGTCGTTTGTGGCTCGTCGTCATCTATGACTCATGGTTGTGCACACTCAGCTACATCAAGTTGACGGTCTCGCGTCGTTCTCCGCTCCGCGATTCTGGCCAAAGGACGATAACAATATCATCGGTTCGATACACATAAGCGTTGCACCATCCGCCGCGGGTCACGATCCGAGCGGGCCGCATTCGACGATGCAGGGTCGGTACCAGCACGTCGAGCGCATTATCGAGCGGGTAGACAGCCTGTTACGGAGTAGGATATCTGGACTGGAGGAACTCACGATTCAGGTGGAAGGAGCGTGATTGAGCGCCATGTAATGCGATTATATATCTAGGACTTGTAATAATGCAGCAGGATCTCTCCAACTCGTTGAGTGCGCCAACAAAATTAGATCTGGGGAGTCCCCCTGGTCAGCACAGATCTGAAAGTTCGACGAATCGTGAAGCTTTAAGTCTCAATCCTAAAGCTTGAAGTTGTCAACTTGTCAACTCGAGTCATTATTCATCGCGTCAAAAAGCAGAAGAGCCAGGAGCAAAAGTTACTGACAAGAGTGGGATTCGAACCCACGCAGCTTTCGCTATGAGAAACCAACCTCTGTTGGCAAGCTTACGCTTGAGTCACACGCCTTAGACCACTCGGCCATCTTGTCATGTAGGAACGTATGTTGTGAGTATCCTCTAGTTGCACTGGAGGCATTCAACTTCGGAACGCGGTCGAGCGTAATGTTTACTCGGTTGGCCGCTGCAAGCGACAATTAAAATATTTCCTTTCGTCTCGTTTGCCTACAAGCGCGCTCCTGATCCATGGATGACACCGCTGTGAACGATCGTCCGAGATGACTTTGTCCAACAACGGCTGGTGCCTGAGAACGGTGCCGTATTTGGCAGGCGGAGGCTTCGACGCTTTTGTGCACGTGGTGGGCTAAACGACGCGATCGCACACTACCAGACGCTCGTTCGTTGTTTTATCCCTCGACGAGGCCTCTCCATGATGTCGATGAATCCCCAATGACCGACTCATCTTCTCCACGCGAAATTCCCTTCGACTTGTGGGCGCCGAGTTTCTCGTTACCCTTCGCGTCGCGGATCTGACGCGCGCCGACAGTTTCGTGTCTCTGTGCAAAGCGTTCGCCGACGCCGCGCCCAAGCGAGCCACACTCACGAAGAACCAGCCAAAGAACCAAGTCTCCCACTATGTGCGGACGCTGACGAACTGGGTGCAACATCTTCAAGAGAAGCACGCGTCGCTACCAGACGGCACGGCCGCCACACTCCTCCTGTTCTTGTTTCCGGAAGAGGACGTGTCGCGCAAGTATGGCATGCAAGAGACGCGACTTGCGGGGTACGTCGCCGATATTCTCGGTGTGTCGACCGACCGCGACTCTCGCGGCGCGTCGTTGCGGAGGTGGGACGAAGCGGGTACGGCGGGCTGCCTGGGGCAGGAGGTCCGGCTGCTCATGGAATGCGCCTCCAGCGTAAGTGTGGCAACTTTGCCCAGGTTCGATCTATGCTGATATCTTGCAGAACGAAGCAGAAACGCGCTGTCTTAATGACATAAGCACGCTCCTCACTGAGCTCGCTTCCTCATCGGCGTACTCTTCATCCTCCGTCCGTGCACCCCCCGCGTCGCGTCGCAAGCCGCGCGAAATACTGCGCGATTTATATGCGCCCGCATCACCGCTGTCTGCTGCCATAATCACACAGATAATTCTCAAAGACTTGCGTCCGATCCTCTACCCCCTCAAAGAGACGCACTACAGGGCGCAGCTCCTCGAGTATAACTCGAAAGCGGTGTGCATGCTAACCAAAGAGCAAGCGATGAAGGTGTGGGACCCAACCGGCAAGTTATCACAAGCGGCACGCATGTGTGCATCAATCGAGGAAGCTGTTGCGGCGTACGAACATCCTGAAGGCTTGCTACAGCCGAAAATAGGCGTGCCTGTTCCGGTGCGTTGCAATCCCTTGGCCAGTGATCTGTACAAGACTACACATTCGTTCAGATTCCGAAGTGCATCAAAGGCAAGGGCTGCAAAGACTCCCTCAACGTCCTTAAGGAAGCTTCCAAAGTGTGGATTGAGACCAAGTATGATGGTGAACGCGCGCAGATCCACGTCGAAGTGGATGACACTGGCAGATCCAAGATTACAATATTCAGCAAGAGCAAGCGAGACTCTACCATGGACCGTTACGCGACCCATTCGTACGCCTTATCTTCACCGTTTATGCTCGTATTTATGAATATATGCATTCTACGTAGGATCATCCGAGACGCGCTCGGCCTGCCAGACCCGTTTGAAGGCGGCGGAGACTCAACGATCACCCCACGCATAAAGCGCAATGTGATCATCGAGGCTGAGATGGTTGCGTATTCCGATACGACGAGAAAGGTCGACGGTGCGTTTTAGCTTCTTCGAAATCCTTGTTCCGCTCACATTCCTCGCAGAGTTCTGGCGAATCCGTAGCCTGATTGCCTCGACCGCCATCGGCGTGCGGGGCGCGTCCTACAAGAAGGCGCAGCCACACGATGACTGGTACGCCTCGCTTCTCTCCGTTACTGCCCCGATGCTGACGCACCTGCAGTTCGCAGTCCTCGCTCCTCTCGAACGCATCTGACGACGGCGCGCGGCGGCTTGCGCTCGTGTTCTTTGACGTGCTGCTCGTCGACGACGAATGCCTGCTCTATGCGCCATACTGGCGGCGGCGAGCTCGCCTCGAGGCCCTCATCGTGCCACGCCCTGGATACGCGATGCTCGCGGAGCGCGTGCCAGTAGTCATGCAGTCGCGCGAAGAGGCAAATCTGGCGTTGAGGGAGGTCTTTGCGAGGCTTCAGGGCGAGCGCGAAGAGGGCGCAGTGCTCAAGGCGGACGAGAGCAGATACAACGATTGGAAGCTGCGCTGGGTGAAGGTGAGTTGGTATGTGGCTGAGTTGAGGAGATGGACTCTGATGGGGAATATCGCGTCTCTCAGCTGAAGGCTGACTACATTCCTGGGTATGGCGATTGTCTCGACCTGGTCGTGCTGGGTGCCGGGTGGGAGAAGGATCGTGCGCGTGAGCTACTCGGTGGGTTATCAACGTTTAATTCTCGTCTTCCAACCCGCTTACCGAAACCGCATATAGTCAGCCCAGAGGTATACACAACATTCTACATTGGAGCTCTAAGCAACGTCGCTGTTATAGAAGCAGACGTAAGTTCGGGTCATGCTGGGGCTCATGAGCCTGTCACTGACATCGGCTTGCAGCCAACGACAAGACCAAACTTCCAGATAGTCTTCACCTGCTCGTACGGGCTTGATAGAAAACAGCTTGAGGAGTTTAATTTCTTGGCCAAGAACTCTGACCCCGTGAATTACTCCGCGGCTACAAGCAAGGTACATAGTCTCTCCGCTGTCCGTGTACCGATTCTCATGATTTCATTGTAGCATATGTCCCTTCTACCATACTCGTTCAAGCTGAATCCAGGTCTGGCCCCGCCATCGGTCATGCTTCCACAGCCCATCCTCGCAGAATTTTACGGTGGAGGGTTTACGAAGGCGCCCCGCAGCAAGGTAAAGGATCCCGCTCCCTGTGACAAACTTTGTTCGACAATACTGAGACCATGTTACACAGTACTACGAGCTTCGCTGGCCGCGCATGACCAAGTTCTACCGTGCCAGCGAGCGTTCCTGGCGTGACGGCAACAGTCTTGAAGAATTCCAGCGCATCGCCCGAGAGGCGGTAGGCCGGGACCGTCCGCACAAGGACGTTGATGACTTTTGCAAGGGCCTCTGGGGCAAGGTGCAATCGCCCAGCGTACACCATCCTGAGAAACGCAAGGAGCGCGAGGAGGACTGGCTTGAGAAGCTCGAGCGCGCCGACGGAAAGATTAAGCTGAAGGCACGCAAGCTGGACTTCCACGCGACCGCGGACCGTTCGCGGGCGGAGAAGCATGAGATGCCGGCCCCGGCGGCGACGCCGCAGAAGCAGAAGATGAGGGCATTCGGCTCGGTGACGAATGTGCTACCCACGCCACTCGTCTCGGCGGACAAAGGACGTCCCAACGAGGTGCTACTGCCTACGCCCAAACCTACTGCTGGACGACCACGACGTACCATTGCCGCTTCAAATAGAGAAAACTCGGCGAAAATACCAAGTATCATGGCTACTGTCGCTCAAGAGCAGGCTCAGACACCTGAAGCACACGCCAATCCCACGCCCGCGACTTCGAACAGCGACGTCTTCGCACCGCCGACGCCTCCGAGCTCGAATCCGGGATTGAGCCCTGCGTCCGTCGACCAGTCCTTCCCCACTGGACCCTGCACCCTCCGCGCGTTCCTGCAGCACGCCGCAGTGTACCTCGCGCGGGACACCCGCCTGCGGCGCCCGCGCTGGCGTGCTCCTTCCAGCACTGTCGTGCCGTTTGGACACCAATTGAACACCATCGACGCGCTCCTTATCGCGTGCGCATGGGACAGCGCACACGAGGTCGAGTGGGCAAAGTTCGGCGTCGTATTCGTCGACGATTCCGACACGACGTACGCTTGGATGGACGTCGTGTCGAGGCCCCTCCTCGAAAAGCGCGCGACGCTCGTGCACGCTGGACGTCCCCTCGGCAAGCCGATATTTATTCTAGGGTTGAGCATGATGCATGTGGATCGGCTGGAGGAGGAGGTGCCGGTACTAGAGAGGGCGATTTGTCGGTTCGGGTAGGGGAGTAAGTTATCCTTAAGTTAGCTCCGAGAAGCTGTATTTTTTCCGCGTTGTGTGTGTCTGTAGTGTACTCTTTCATCGTCACGGTGTATTCGATGTTCTTTCAGCCGCATGACGAGGCCGCAGCCCGCTGCGCTCCCAGTCGGAGGGGGACCCCGGAAGCGTCGGGGTTACGAGACGTGAACGTAAAGAGACGCCCAAAAGTCGGAAGCGCTGCGCTCGGGCAAGCGCCAATAATCTTCTGTCCCGGCCCACGAACACCCATCCTCCTCTGCCCGCCCCGCACAATGCTGCCCCGCCATCTACGACGCGCCGTCCTCTCGCCCGCAGCGCCGGCCGCGGTGCGCGCCGCCCTGCGCGCGCGCAGCGCCCCGCTGGGCCTCCCGCGGCCGCTCCCGCACGCCCTCGGCGCGGCGCCGTTCCACTCGTCGGCGCGGCGCATGAACGAGCCGCCGAAGAGCCCGTTCGCGACGTTCGTCGAGGTGCTGCGCGAGGAGCTGCGCAAGAACCGCGAGCTGCAGGACAACGTGAAGCAGCTGCAGGGTGACGTGGACAAGCTCCAGGACTCGGAGGCCATGAAGAAGGCGCGGGCGGCGTACGAGCGTGCGCGGGTGCGTAGAATTTTGCTGTGAGGCGCCGCGCGGGTGCTGACGGTCCCGCAGTTGACGTCGAGCATAAAAGAGAACCCGCGGCTACGTGCGGCGGCTGAGGAGCTGCACAAAGCGGGTGTGAAGGTCGGAGACGCAGTCTCTGAAGCGCTGCGGACGATGGAGGAGAGCGAGGTTATGCGTGCGGTACGTCATTTTCCGCTCCGTCTGCGTATATTCACCGCTCACACGACCGACCGTAGATCTCACGAGCGTCCGCGGCGGTCTCGTCGACGATCGAAAAGACAACCGAGCCGATCCGACAGACGCAGGCGTACAAATCGCTCGCGGAGACGGTGATTGATGCGCTCGACGA